GTATGGGATATTGATTAGTGCTGGAGTATGGGATATTGATTAGTGCTTCAGTGTGAGTTATTAAAAATTGAAATACTTTCATGGGATGTGACACCACTGGCAAAGTCAGCACTCATTGCCCATCCCTAATTGCCCTTCTTGAACCATGCAGTCTATTTGTGGTAGGTATACCCACAGTGCTGCCAGCAGGATATTGACCCAGTGACAATGAAGGAATGGCAGTACAGCTCCAAGACAGGATGGTGGTTAGGTTGAAAAGGAACTTGGCCGAACGTGCCGTTCCTATGCCTGGCTGCCCTTCTACTCGGTGATAGATATCATGGGTTTGGAAGGTGATGTCGAAGAAGCCTTGGTGAGTTGATGCAGAGCATCTTGTAGATGATACACACTGTTGCTCAGGAGATGTGTAGGGGCTGGTGGTGGGGAGCACTTGCATGAGTGTCATTGTATTTCAAGAAAGCTAGTGGTGATTGTACCTATGTACTGTGTTCACTGAATCCATTGTGTGAAGAACCCAGTGCTGAAATTCGTGACCTTTGTACTTTTTACAGGAGACATACCTCATCAAACATATGGCAAAGCATACAGCAGTAGAGCATGCAATGGACACCCACTCCCCTCAGAGAACGGAATCCCCTAGTTGTCCTGTTCGGATTTCCCTCCTTTAATCAGCCCCAGTGTTAGAACTCCGGGAAGTGGATGCTCCGGGGCTAAGGTCAGGTGCTTTCTGCGGATGGATGAGAAGCTTTTCTTTCTCATTTGCCTCCTCCTGCTATTTATTCAGTCTCTGAGAAGAGGCCCAATCACAGCAGAAACATTGGCATCATTGCAGAGACTCCCAAAGACTGTTGAGCCTGAGTGTCGTCCATCGCCGAGGAGGTGAGTGCCTGTATCCCTCGGATAAACACCTTCCGTTGCTGGGCAACGGCACTGGAAGCAATGATGTGAGCTACAGGCTGGTAACTTCCTCAATAAGGGCATGGATCGTACTGTCTAAGACTTCATAAGCTGTGTCTGAGAGCACCACTTTTATTAATGTTTAATATGTCTTACTATTACACAGGAAGACGAAGGAGGAATCAGTTAGATATAGAATTATAAAGCAGTATCTCATTTTGTTGTTCTGTGATAGTGCGACAAAACTAGTTTTCAATTATTGGTTATTAGCGAATATGAATTATTATACTAAATGTATGGTCAATTTTCATGTGTTTAGTTGACGTCTTTGCTGTACCTTTTTCAGGCTGTACACAGGCCCCAGACACAACTCATTTTTAATATGCATCCTAACCAGTTCAATACAGAATACCCACGTCCACCCTCACCGAACATGTCTATGATATTATAAACTGTTTTGTTGACAACTAAACAGCCTCTGTGCACTTAAGACAAGTTGTCATGAATAGCAGGAATCAAGTTTGAGTGTGCCTTTTGTTGCAGCATATGAGAGCCCTACGGCAAATGTAATTTGCAAAGAGGATGAACTAGGACCAGTTTAATCGAATGTCAATGGCTCAAAGGCTGCAGGACAGAAATCCCAGGAAAATGAGCATGAGGTGCACTGAAGTCAAACTGGTTCAGTTTTCAGGCAGATGCTCCAAAAGTGTTGTCAGTGCTTTTGGGTGGTGATCAAGTCTGACCTTCCATGAGTGCCCGTCTTTTGTCACTTCTTGCCAGCAAACACTTGCATGTCCTGTCATGTTGCAAGGCCCTTTCTCCTGGAGTTGAATCCATTCATCATCCATGTTCAACATGCGTTGGATCTTAAAAGGGTCATAACAAAAACATTTGGGGAATCTCTTTGTTTACCAATGCGTAAGATGAATTATTCTGAAACACATCTCCGTGATTTCTTTATGACAAAGGTGCTAACACATTCCTGGGAATGAAGAGATTTGTCCCGTACTCTGGCATGAAATCAATCTCCTTTGATAAGACATAAATGGGGAGATCAATTGAAATCAAGACGGGGTGGGGGTTGGTGGGGGGTGCGGGAGTGATGGCTCAGATAGGTTTTATACAGAATGGATACTGAATAGCTATCCAAAGATAAATTTTAGGCCAGAATTCAGTCAAAAGGCCAATGCCGTTTTCATAGAACCCAATGAAAACAAAGGAGTGGTTTCAAGATTGAAATCTATTCAGATTATAGATGTATATACTAATGATTTATATATAGACTAATGGAAACTTTGCAGTGAATTAAAGAAGGGACTGTAATCAAATTCATTGTGTAGATCAGAAAAGGGAAGCAAAAGTTTTTTTGGAACAGTCATTTGGACCCTGAGATTATATATGGTTCTTCCACCTCTGGGGGCTCCTAAGTTGAAAAATCAGTGCAAATTGATAGGATGAGACACCCTCTTTCTCTGAGCTGTCAGGGACCACCTAAATAAAATAGTTTTCGCTGGCCCAACACAATTCAACCCTAAACTGGCAGTCTCAGTCAAGAGAAGCCACAATGATTGTTTATGCCTGATGAATGAAAATGCCCCAGTGGTGCATTAAGGATGTTTCTCTTGGGCTGGGAATGCTCCGCATTGTTGGAGCAGAATAGGCTGAGCTCTCGTTGTGCTTTCCTTGGTCAGGGAGTGCCACATGAAGACAGAGATAGACAATAGATTAAAACAAAACTGAAATCGAATTCTGGTCTTTGTGGACTCCAGTGGAGAGAGACTCAGCAATGTATAGGTGGTCGGATACACAGTGCATGTTCTGTAATGAATGCCTCAGTGCAGCTCAGGACACTATGAGGGTCTGCTGAACAATACTCAAACATTCAGCACCAATTCTGCTGCTCCTAGGATTTCGTGTCCCCATTTTTTTTTAAGTTGAGATTCATTTGTCATTTTTCATAGTGTTATTTCCAAGAGATTTGTACAATAGAGTCAATGATAGTAATCTCTTCTTTAATTTTTTTAATATTATATATTATATATATATATATAAATATGTATAATTCAGTTATGCCCGAGGGAGTGTCCCTCTCAGCCTGCAGATCTAGATTAGACACAGCCTGCACTGTCACTAATCTGATGTTCTTGTGGAACAGTATATATATATGTTAAAATGCTTTGAAATAATATTTGGGGGTGTGGGGGGGTGGTGGGGTTTGGCAGTGAAGGGAGTTTCTAAAAGAAATTGTTTCAAGGTCACAGTTGGTTATAGGCCCTGATCTGGGTGAATCAGAACACTGTTAACAGTGGGAATTGGCATTGACTGACATCCAGATTGTTGAATGAAATTTTCAGTTGGGTGTAAGGGTGCTTGGTGAAAGCAACCTGTCACAGTCGCATTGTGATTCCATCAGCGCTCAACACCAAGCCAAGCAGTCTCACTCAGTGAAAGATAGGAAAGTATCATCGTGACTTCTCACCTGGGGAAGAGGCTGGTACATTTTTAGGAATTAATTCCTCTAGTTGTCATGTGTTAGCAACATAGTAAGCTGAGTAGGAAGATTTCCCTTGGTTGTTGTCTTTAGCAACATCTGAAAAAAAGCACTTAGGATCGTTCTCACTTTGTACCACATTTACGATGTCACTAACACTGTATACAATGAAAAGAGGAAATGGATTTGCTATCTCTCCAGTGTCATTAGGAGGCGGCAACTTGAAATGTGTCCTTTGCCCACTGTATGTTATTGGTGTTGTAAACGTGACAGTGATACATCTTTCAGTTGCATTTGTGACAACTGCTAACACAGAGTGATCAGAGGGCATTGTCAGCCATTGCAGGGACCTTTGCTGTTTGCTGTCTCTGCTGTGCCTGGCCCGAGAGCGCTTGATGCTGGTAATGATTTGGAGGAAGATTTAAAAAAAACAATTCTATGTGAAAAAACACAATTCTATGTAAAAACAAAAGTCAAGAAGAAAGCCACTTTGAAAGATTTTCACTTCTCAGGGAGATGCAATAGTTGGCCTATGGGGGCCTTTGCGGGCCTTTGCACTACCTACAATCTGAGAAACAAAGTGACCTTTTCTTTTTGGTTTTGAGGAGCGCTGAGAGAGTTGGGACTTAACGAGCCAAACTTTACCACTGGGAGCTAAGTGCTCTGCTTCAGACCAATGTCACAAATATTCAAAGACCCCTATGGTTCCTGTTTTGTAAACACGCCATTTTAGACTGCGATAACACAGTATGGAGCTGGAGGAACACAGCAGGCCAGGCAGCATCAGAGGAGCAGGAAAGCTGACGTTTCGGGTCGGGACCCTTCTTTGGAAGACATCAAACAGTCCATTTCTGTCCCGACCCG